GGTTTCACCATGTTGACCAGGATGGTCTCGATCTCTTGACCTCGTGATCCACCCGCCTCGGCCTCCCAAAGTGCTGGGATTACAGGCTTGAGCCACCGCGCCCGGCCTAATTTTGTATTTTTTAGTAGATATGGGGTTTCTCCATGTTGGTCAGACTGGTCCTGAACTCTTGACCTCAGGTGATCCGCCTGTCTCTGCCTCCCAGAGTGCTAGGATTATAGACATAAGCTACCGCGCCCAGCCAACTCTAGTTCTTTAGATGCAGAATTAATATATATAAACTGAGGTAAGGATAGGCTAAGTTAATAGAATTAAAGTATTCACAAAGCAGACCCTGACAATAAAATAACATGCCCAGAATTTTCCCTGACATAAACAATGGAACCATAGTGTTACCTAACAGGGATGATTTCTCCCATACTATATTTTTTTTTTAATAGAAATGAGTTCTTGCTATGTTGACCAAGCTAGTCAAACAATTCCTCAAGTGATCCTCCTATCTTGGCCTCCCAAATCGTAAGCCACCGTGCTGGCCCTCTCCCATAGTATTCAATAGAAGTGTATTTAATGAATGTATATGGGTACATAGGCCCTGCTTTACAAAGACCAAATTTGTTTTATTTTTTTTTTTTGAGACAGAGTTTCGCTATTGCTGTTCAGGCTGGACTGCAATAGCACAATCTCGGCTCACTGCAACCTCCACCTCCCGGGTTCAAGTGATTCTTCTGCCTCAGCCTCCCAAGTAGCTGGGATTATATGCATGTGCCACTTCCTTTGGCTAATTGTGTATTTTTAGTAGAGACAGGGTTTCTCCATGTTGGTCAGGCTGGTCTCGAACTCCTGACCTCAGGTGATCCACCTGCCTTGGCCTCCCAAAGTGCTGGGATTACAGACGTGAGCCACCACACCTGGCCAGACCAATTTTTTTTTTATACTGCCTACCTTAAAAAGAAATGTTGGCCAGGCGAGGTAGCTCAGGACTGTAATCCCAGCAGCACTTTGGGAGGCTGAGGCAGCTGGATCACGAGATTAGGAGTTTGAGACCAGACTGGATAACATGGTGAATCCCCGTCTCTACCAAAAATACGAAAATTAGCCGGGCATGGTGGTGGGCGCCTGTAATCCCGGCTACTCGGTAGGCTGAAGCAGTAAAATCTCTTGAACCTGGGAGGCGCAGGTTGCAGTGAGCCAAGATCACACCATTACACTCCAGCCTGGGCAACAGAGCAAGTCTCCATCTCAAAAAA